TTCCCCAGCCACTCTGGGCAGCTTCCAACAAAACACTAAAATACAATAACCTATTAAACATTAAAAACTTCCCTAAACAGGGCTGCCTTCAGATGTCTTCTAAAAGTTTGGTAGTTATTTTTCTCTTTGACATCTGGTGGGAGGGTGTTTCACTGGGCGGGTGCCACTACTGAGAAGGCCCTCTGCCTGGTTCCCTGTAACATGGCTTCTTGCAGCAAGGGAACCGCCAGAAGGCCCTCTGTGCTGGACCTCAGTGTCCGGGCAGAACGATGTAGATAATGTAGATAAAGGCATGGCTGCATACAGTATATGTGCCCTTAATGCATAAATGGTTTACTGTTCTTTGTGGCGAGTGCCTAGCTGGATGCCCTGCAGTCTGGACAATCCAGGTTCTGTAACCTTTGAAAGTCAGCATTTACTATTATACCTAATTCCAGAGACAAAGGTCAATGGAGCAGCTATCAAGCACATGCTTTAGAACTTGGCCATTTTCTTTTGGATTCCTTGAGGTATTGCTGTGCCCAAAAGCAATCAACACGCTCATTTGGAATTATGAAATATGAACAGCTATTTGGAAATGTAGTCATCTTGGTAGTGTCCAAAGAAGAAGTAATCAGAATATTATATTTGGCTTGTAGATTGAAAGACGAGGAAAACATAATGGATGGGTAAATCCTCACCGCTGTTCAAATATGAATGAGTGAACATTACACTGACATTACAGTAATTCATCATTCTTTAAGTATTAGAGCAAGATATTGGAAATATTATTAAAAATAACAATCTCATGGACCTTCTACTGTTAAGTGGCAACATACCAAAATATATTCATATCAGGGAATTGTGCAATTGAGACAAGAAGTGATCATGCCATTCTTTCAAGATTTTCAGAATAGACCTTTTAAAGTAATCAATTAAAACTTGAAGGAAGTTATGCCAACTGACAGAATTTGAGGACATCTCTTTAAAATGGTTTGATGAAAATCAAACTTTTTTAAGAACTGGGAAACTGATCAGCCATTCAACAACTGCTAGGGGAATTTTTTTAAAAAAGTGCAATAGTGTTGATGGCAATAAGATTTTATTGGTGACTCACTTGGGCCTAAATGCATTTTTTAATATTAAAAACCAAGCACACCAGAAGAGTGACATGCATACCTCATAAACTAATTATTCCCATGGAGCTCTTTCTCCTAGCTTACAGTATTTTAATTTTTTTTTGAATCTGAATAGAGTGTATGTGTGTATATTAAACAGGCTGTGTGACCATTTTTTATTTTTTATTTTTGGCATGGTGGGTGAGGGGTCATTTAAAGACCTCTTGCAGATTCCTGCAAAGGAATCACTGTTTTGGTTAATAATCTTGTTCTAGTTGGTTTACATTATAAATGCATTCACAGAAGTTCATAGTTGGATGGTGAACAATTCTCTTGTAAAATGATGCCTAATTTGCCCCTTGTTCAGTTATACAATTGACTAACAGTAGCAAGATCACTGCAGATGGTGACAGCAGACACGAAATTAAAAGACGCCTGCTTCTTGGGAGAAAAGCAATGACAAACCTAGACAGCATCCTAAAAAGCAGAGGCATCACCTTGCCAACAAAGGTCTGTATAGTAAAAGCTATGGTTTTCCCAGTAGTGATGTACAGAAGTAAGAGCTGGACCATAAAGAAGGCTGATCATCGAAGAATTGATGCTTTTGAATTATGGTGCTGGAGGAGACTCTTGAAAGTCCCATGGACTGCAAGAAGATCAAACCTATCCATTCTTAAGGAAATCAGCCCTGAGTGCTCACTGGAAGGACAGATCCTGATGCTGAGACTCCAATACTTTGGCCACCTCATGAGAAGAGAAGACTCCCTGGAAAAGACCCTGATGTTGGGAAAGATGGAGGGCACAAGGAGAAGGGGACGATAGAGGACGAGATGGTTGGACAGTGTTCTCGAAGCTACCAGCATGAGTTTGACCAAACTGTGGGAGACAGTGGAAGACAGGAGTGCCTGGCATGCTCTGGTTTTGCCCTGTCTGCATATTCCATAAGTTTTTGTACCCATTCTTCCTTTGCTGGGACTTCTGCTTCTTTCCATTTTGGGCCAAGTAACATTCTTGCTGCAATAGTTCGTGGATTCAAGTCCGGTTTCGTTCCCATTCATGGTGTGCTAGAATGCACAATCCCTGGTGGTTGGAAACATCAGTTTTTCTCCAGCATGGCGTTGTCAGTTTGGTTCATACAGGCCGTATACAGACTCCTGTTTACTCTGCATCCAATGCATTTCTGCTGCTGCTCTTTTGGGAATTAGTGTACATAGTTAGTCACAAACCATGCCTATCCTGTTATGAAGTGCTGTATTTTGAGAGTCCCCCCCCAAACAAGCTTCAATCCAAATTCAGGCAAAGAATGACCTCCCTGACAATGCGTCCACAGCCTCAGTTATAAGGTCCAGGAGGCTCTATAGCACTGAGATTTGCAAAAAGGGGAAAATTCACTGGTTGTGGCTTATCCTGAGTGTGATGAGAAAGCCCTGAGAGAAAGCCCTGCTGAAATTCTCCTCCTTACAGTATGAACCTTGTAGACTGAACCAATAGTGCTCCCTCCCCATAAAATACTGTTGGGAAGTATGAACATAGGACTTGGAACCTTCAGTTAACCTTCATAAGAGCACGTTGTGAACAAGTCATCTTATTCCCCCTTTGTGGGGTTGGGAAACTCAAAATTACAGACGTGAACTTTAAAAGGCCTCTCTTTGGGGGAGATCAGCAAACCTGGGTCCTGTAAGATAAGCCAGACATTTATTGTTTCACTGAATTTATTTGATTAAGTGACTGCAGACACAGGTACTAAGCAGGAATTGTGACTTCTGTAGCATCTTCTTTTTACGTTTAAAGAAGTGTATTGTTGCCAGGGCCTTGGGGAGAGGGACAAGGAGACGATGGAAGCAAAAACGGAACTCAAATATCTAAATTAAAAGCAGAAATTTGTACTGGACCACCAGCTTGGCTATCAAAGCAAATTTTTGTTTAAATTAGTGATTGGGAATTTTGCCCTAAATTGTTATAAACTTGGCTCCTAGGCACCCGCATATTTTTCCTCCAGCTCTCTCCCAAAGAATTTGGCCGTTTAATTTATCAAGGGGCTTATTAATGGAGTTTATTGTGTGCTTGCAATTCCTTAGACCCCTCTGAGGATGTTCGGTGCCCCCCTCCCAGGAAAAGATTCAACAAAAGCGGCTAGAAGAAGCTTTAATTAAATGTCTGGTTTCAATGGGATTACTGCCTGATTAATCCAGCCTCTGTCTGCCTGTCAATCATGCCTGTCATTATAATTGTCAACTATATAGCCGCTAACTATGTGAAAACTCAATCTGGCTGTTCTTTATTTAAATGTGTCATTTTGGCTTTATTTATTTATTTTACATGCGTCTCAAAGAAGCGTACCTTCCAGCTCCCCGAGTTTGCCACTGCAACCTGTTTGCCAGGGAGAAGTAGACTTGATTCAGATCCACACTCCTTCACTGGAATGTAGAAGAAGAAGAAGAGTTTGGATTTGATATCCCGCCTTTCACTCCCTTTAAGGAGTCTCAAAGCGGCTAACAATCTCCTTTCCCTTCCTCCCCCACAACAAACACTCTGTGAGGTGAGTGGGGCTGAGAGACTTCAGAGAAGTGTGACTAGACCAAGGTCACCCAGCAGCTGCATGTGGAGGAGCGGAGAGGCGAACCCGGTTCCCCAGATTACGAGACTACCGCTCTTAACCACTACACCACACTGTGCTGCAGACTGACTTTACTCAGCAGTAGACAGTCCCACTAAGTTTTAACGGGTTTTGCTCCCAAGAAAATGTGCACAAAACCACGCCCTTTCATTAGCCCTTCTTAAAAATTGCAAGTCCTCTGTCACTGTCTGATACTATTCAGCACAGCCAATGACTGGCTATGAAGGATGCTTGGTAGAGTTCCTTCTTCACTGTCATGCAGAAAAGTTCGAAACGTTGCTCTTTGCCAGAGCCTGTGCCTGACCTTGCCTGGTTTCCTGCCTCGTGTCCTGCCTTGGCCCTGTTGGACTGACTCCTCGCGGAACCCTTGAATTTGAGACCGGACCTGGACCGCATTGCTCGGGTTACTCCTGGGCCCAGCACAGGTGTAAAGCACTGAGCCTCTTGGGCTTGCCAATCAGAAGGTCGGCGGTTCGAATCCCCGCAACGGGGTGAGCTCCCGCTGCTCGGTCCGTGCTCCTGCCAACCTAACAGTTCAAAAGCATGTCAAAGTGCAAGTAGATAAATTAGTACCACTCCAGCGGGAAGGTAAGCGGCGTTTCCATGCACTGCTCTGGTTTTGTCAGAAGCGGATTAGTCGTGCTGGCCACATGACCTGGAAAAACTGTGGACAAACGCTGGCTCCCTCGGCCAGTAAAGCAAGATGAGTGCCGCAACCCCAGAGTCGTTTGCAACTGGACCAACTGTAACTGTCGGGGTCCTTTACCTTTACCTTTTTAAGGTCCCTTTGGCCCCCCAAATAATATATTTGAGCCCCCCCCGTTGCCATTCAGAATAGGATGTATGTGCCTTGTCTTGTGATTGATTATGTGGGGTGGGGCTTACCTGCCCTCCCAAATATTTTATTCAAGTTGGTACCCCTGGCAGTGAGGCCGAGAGGGGAGTCTTGTTGTCTGGGCAGCCCATGACCTCCGTACACACTGCCCGGGCTTGCGCCCCGGAAAGGTCACTTCGCGGTTTGACTTCACCCCGGAGGCGCACTCCATTGTCTGTCGAGACAGACGGCTGCCAACAATTCCAAACTCCATAACAAAAGAAGCCCCCTCCTCCGACGAGTTTCCTTTCAAGGAGGGAAGGGAGACATGATTGGAAACATCTTTCTGGGCGCAACGCTGTTCCTGATGCAATACCGCGGCGAAAGCCGAAAGGCTGGCCAGGAAGGGGGCGGGGGGGGGATGCAGCGCGCTGCTGTGTCTTTAAACAGCCACGACCCTGGCTTGGTCTCTCTCAGGCTCGGGCGGTGATTGACACGGAGAGGAGGCGCCTGCTTGTAACAAAAGTCGGCGGCGTCGGAGCGCGCGGGTGCGCGCGTGTTTGGAGAAGCAATCTAGTTAACAAGTGGCCGCGATTCACCGCCAGGGGGAAGAGGAGGAGGAGAGAAAAGACAAGAGCCGAGCCTGGAAAAAAAGAGAGGCTGGAGCGCTTGCAAAGGGCTCTGCCACTCCCCGCCCAGCTCTGCAGGAAGGAGCGCGTCTCGGTCTCTCTCCTTGCTTTGGGCTTGACAATCTCACCTTCCTTGCGCTCTGATCGACTGGTGGATTACATCTGGAGCTACTGCCCCTTACTTCCTCGGTGTCCCCTCCTCTTTCCTTGGGGAGGCTCAGGTTTTTTTAACCCCCTTCTCTCTCTTTTTGGAGGAGTCTAAGTTTGTTTCGATCGTCGCAAAAGGCTGAAGGGCGGCGGAGGGGAGAAACCAACTGGAGAGGAAAGGCTAGAGAAAGTCCCCTGCGCTCCGCCGCGCCTCTTCTTCGCGGTGGCCTTTTAAAAACAACCAGCGCCGCATCTTCTCTTTGTCTCCTTCCTCCCCAGCCCAAACATTTATCTGTGGTTCGACATGGTGGGTGTAGCGGGGAGGAGGAGGACGAGGACGAGAGTATGAAGGCGGCAGGATGGGAGCGAACAATGGCAAGCAGTACGGCAGTGATGGTAAGTCCGCTTTGGCCAGGGCGGGCGCAACGGCGCGGCGCGTCCCGAGGTGCCTTGGAGAGGGGGCTGTAGGCGCGCGCGCAGGGCGGGCGGGCACTGCTCTGCCAGCCTCTCCGAAGCGTCCGGAGAATTTGCAGACGTTCCCCGAGCGGCAGGAGTCTGCCCGCCTCTCCCCGCTGCCTCCCCACCGCAGCGAAGGCACTGCAAAGTTGCAACCCCTTTTCCGGGAAAATCTGGATGTCAGTTTGGGGAAAAGCTCAAGGCAGGCTTGGGTAGTTCCTTCCTTGGCTTTCCCTCCCCGCACCCGCGACCCAATCTTCCTGCACATTTACGTAGAAGCTAATCCCACGGAGTTCAGAGTTAGTCCCAACTCCTAGGGGCCGAGGTGCTTTGCCCCTCCCCAATAAAATATTTGAGGGAGTTGCCCCCCCCACAGTTGATGGGCATTGCCATTCAAATGATGTGCATGTGCCGCATCATGTGATCGATTATGCGGGGCGGGGCTTACCTGCCCCCCAATACTTTATTCAAGTTGGCACCCCGGTCACTTTATGTGTGCATAGGAGGGAACCTAGTCTTGACTGCGGAGTGGGGGCTTAGGATGGGAGGGGCACAGCGGATGCGTATCTGGTTTGTTGGGAAAAGCAAGGAGATGCTTATGGCTGTGTATGAGAAAGTTGTTTGGTATAGGATTCTAGAACTGTAGAGTTGGAAAGGACCTCCTAGGGGTCATCTAGTCCAACCCCCTGCAACGTAGGAATCTTTTGCCCCAGGTATAGGTGGCATGCCAGTTACAGTATTTATCATGCACAGCAGAGTGATCTGCCTCCTGTAGCAGGATTGTCTTGGTGGGTTGACAAAGGGAGATTACTAATACAAGACTGTATGCTGAACGCAGGAAGATCGCACCACCTTAAAAATGCACCCCAAGTCTGCATTCACACTTAAGGTCTCCAACAGCAGTAGTTCACTCTTGCAAGTATCTTTAGCAGCCCCTTCGCTTTTGTACTAGATTCGTGGAGAGTAAAGTGAGTTGGGAGGGTGGACAGCACAGAAGTGGCACACACTGTTGTTCGAGTTTACTGCTCTTGCAGAATGTGCCCACACCCAAACTTAGCAGCTCCCCTTTCCCCCTCCCATAATCCTTTCCTAAAATTCTAGCGCAGTTATTTTAGTGCAACCAAGCCACACTTTGCATATAATTAGTTGTCGGTCCTTCCTGCCATTGTGTCTGTGTGTTTTGAGATATTCTGTCTGTAGGCTGTAACCCTTTCCGGGTCTCCTGTCTGTTTGAAATTCCTCAGCGGCATGCAAACAGAGATTCCAAATCAGTACTGTAGCTCCTTAGGGAAGATTGCTTCTGCTGCCTGCTAGATCAGTCAGAGGAGCCTGGAGATGTGGCAGTTCCTTTACTTTTACAATATCAGGGTTAGCAACAAGGAGGCATTTAATTCTCTGAATGTTGAGGTACGAAAATATACTATTTGAAAAAAAGAACCTCCATTGTACGTGCTCTGGGGATGAAAAGCTGCCGTGTTCAAACACTACTGTTGTCTGGTTATTTATTCTATGTGTATTTGCTTGTGAGTGAATTCAGTGGGTTCAGTCAAATGTCTTTCCACATAAGCAGGCAGAAGTGTGCAGCTCATGTTTCGGGCTGCCTTTGAAGGTGACCCGGAAACTACAACTAATCCAGAATGCAGCAGCTAGACTGGTAACTGGGAGTGGCCACCAAGTCCCGCAATTTATATGTCAATTTAGCCAGTTCTGTCTTTTCTGAAATGTTTGCTAACTTTCTAACTAGAGTGGTGATTCTCCGCTCTTTCCTGTATGGATGCTCTTAATTCTTTGCCAGACAAGTAATCTGAATGAGTCTAGAACAGTGGTTCCCAACTGGTGGTTCGTGGACCCCACAGGGTCTGCATAACACACCCAGGGGGTCCATGGCCATATGTGTCAACTTTCCAGGACATCCTCTTTAGGGGGACCGTGCTGTCACCCCAGAGATATCAACATTTTCAAAAGTAGGGGGTTCATGTCTTGGCTTTTGAACTAAGTCCACAGTGCTTAGTTTAATCAGGAACCATTGGTCTAAAATGTATTTGGTATGGGTCCCTTCAGTAGCTGTCCATGAAGGCACAGATCACTTCTGTGTCCAGGGCAGCTGTCTACCAGCTCCATCTGGTACACAGGCTGAGACCCTACCTACCCACAGACTGTCTCACCAAAGTGGTGCATGCTCTAGTTATCTCCCGCTTGGACTACTGCAATGCGCTCTGTGTGGGGCTACCTTTGATGGTAACCTGGAAACTACAACTAATCCAGAATGCAGCAGCCAGACTGGTGACTGGGAGTAGCCACCAAGACCATATAACACTGGTCCTGAAAGACCTCCGTTGGCTCCTGGTACGTTTCCGAGCACAATTCAAAGTGTTGGCGCTGACCTTTAAAACCCTAAACGGCCTCGGCCCAGTATACCTGAAGGAGCGTCTCCACCTCCATTGTTCAGCCCGGACACTGAGGTCCAGCTCCAAGGGCCTTCTGCTGGTTCCCTCACTGCGAGCAGTGAAGCTACAGGGAACCAGGCAGAGGGCCTTCTGAGGTGGACGCTCTCTCATCAGATGTCAAGGAAATAAACAACTCTCTGACTTTTAGAAGACATCTGAAAGCATCTCATCCCTGTTTAGGGAAGTTTTTAATGTTTGATGTTTTATTCTGTTTTTAATATTCTGTTGGGAGCCTCCCAGAGTGGCTGGGCAAAACCAGAAAGATGGGTGGGGTATTATTATTATTATTATTATTAATAGCAGCAGCTCTGGGTGGGATGCACCAATGTATGTGGAGGTGCTTCAAACATTCATTAGGCCTTGTGAATGTGGGCGCACAGATATCTCAGAGGTACAGGAATTTTCTCACCAGTATCCAAATAGCATCCCTGCGTACTGGACTCAATATTTCCTTCTTAAATAACAGTAGCATTAATCACTTTAAAAATGTATTTAAAGTACATAATTTGTTCTTTAGTCATTTTGTCGTTTCTGACTCTTCGTGACCCCATGGACCAGAGCACACCAGGCACTCCTGTCTTCCACTGCCTCCCGCAATTTGGTCAAACTCATGTTAGTAGCTTCAAGAACACTGTCCAACCATCTCGTCCTCTGTCATCCACTTCTCCTTGTGCCCTCAATCTTTCCCAACATCAGGGTCTTTTCCAGGGAGTCTTCTCTTCTCATGAGGTGGCCAAAGTATTGGAGCCTCAGCTTCAGGATCTGTCCTTCCAGTGAGCACTCAGGGCTGATTTCCTTCAGAATGGATAGGCTTGATCTTCTTGCAGTCCATGAGACTCTCAAGAGTCTCCTCCAGCACCAGAATTCAAAAGCATCAATTCTTCGGCGATCAGCCTTCTTTATGGTCCAGCTCTCACTTCCATACATCACTACTGGGAAAACCATAGTTTTAACTATACAGACCTTTGTCAGCAAGGTGATGTCTCTGCTTTTTAAGATGCTGTCTAGGTTTGTCATTGCTTTTCTCCCAAGAAGCAGGCGTCTTTTAATTTCGTGGCTGCTGTCACCATCTGCAGTGATCATGGAGCCCAAGAAAGTAAAATCTCTCAATGCCTCCATTTCTTCCCCTTCTATTTGCCAGGAGGTGATAGGCCCAGTGGCTTAGTTTTTTTGATGAAGTACATAATAGTTTTGTATTTGGATGGGGCTCTTAGCTTTAGCTTTTCTATCTGCAATTTGAATGTGGCCAGACAATGTGAATTTGGACCAATCTGCCATGTGTTTTCTCCCGCTCTGTCACGAACTCTTAATGCTCATTTAATATTGGCAAGAAATTCTTCTGTTTAATATAGAGGAATTCCCAAACAAACTTACTCAGTACAAAAAAGCTGTACATATACAAAAATGAGTGAAACTTCAGATACCTTTGACCTGATGGACCTTGAGTCATGGAGGATAATGTGAGGATCTTTTTAGCTTCAAATGAACCAGGGGTAATTCAGAGTCTGGGTTGTTCCCTGTTGAAAATGTCTTGCTTTCTGCCTCACACTTTGTGAAATAAACATGGGGGGGGGTGCCTTGTGAATTACATTTAACGCAGCAGACACTGTCTATTCTTTTCTATGGGCTTTTGAGCAAGCACCACATATATGTAAATATATTCTTTTATAACCCTTTGTAGTTGATTCTTGATATTTCAGGGATTCCTGCCTTGTGCAGTGTAGTGTGGGGCTGCTTCCTGGCTACATGGCAAGTTTTTCAACCCCAGGGACAAAGCAAGAGAGAGGCAGAGTTTAATGTGCTCCAGCTGTTCTATATAAATGCTACCTCTGCAATTTCGCTTTACTAAAACCCTTTTTCTGAGTTTTGCATTTAGATGTATGGAGCCTAGTCTATCCCTGCTCACATGCTGTTCTCCATGGAACTGCTGAGATGGTTTAGTCCTTCTTTGTGCTTTCGTGTAAGGGATGTTTGGGAAGGTCAGATTAAATGAAACCCACAGGAACCTTTTCAACGTTGATACAAGGAACTTCAGCTACCAAAAAAACAACAACACGCCCTTTGTTTTTCAGCATTTCCCTGCTTTTTATCTGTTTGGGTTGTAGTCAGCTTAGCTGTACCCACTGAATTTACTGAACATAACAAAGTTAGGTCTGTTGATTTCAGTGGGGCTACTTTGAGTCAAACCTAGTTGAACACTGTATTTTTTCACACTGCCAAGAAGAGCTGAACACCAACCTTCTTTGCTTTCTCTCAAGGAAAAAGGACATTCTTCACCCTTCCAGTTGGTCTCCCAGTGTGGTCAGGAAGATGCATGCGACTGTAGGACCTCAGGAAGCAAGGAGGGGGACCAGACTTCCTGCCATGTCTTGTCTAGTGGCTGGGAAACAGAGTTCCTGCAGAATTCTCAGACGGCTCACCTCACTGTTTCAGTTACTTCCATTTTGGCTAGGGCTGAGGCTCTTCATGGTTCCCAAAGGGCTTGCTTTTTGT